AATTTTTTAATTAATTATAACTGTTTGTATATTTTTAATATTATACTTTGGAAGAAATATAAAAAAAAAAAAATTCAGTAGTTTCTATTGAGTTCGTTGTTGAAGATTGGATAAATTCCAAGTAGGACTTAAAACAGCTGTAATTTAAGTGTTGTCTTATAATGACAAACTTTAGAATAAAAATACTGTAATTAGAATTTTTTAACCTGAACTTGGATTTGTTAATAAATTACTTCATTAATTATTTTTGAAATTATATTTCATTCAAGTGAAACAAAACTTAAAAAATTAATGAAAAGAGTAATTGCAAATTTCTTATTTTATGTATTTTTATTTTTATTATTTATTTTATGTATTATTATATGTATTTTTTCCGCCCTAAAGATTATTTATTATACAATATCTAATCTCTAATTACACGTTTAAAAATTTCACTTTTATAACTATCAGTTTTCGATTCAAACAGAAATAAAATCCCATTGTTTCTGTTAAATTTACGAGCGAATATTTTCAATTTATAGTCTATATTTTATATTAATTATTCATCTTTAAATTGAGAGTTTTAAAAAAACATAAATGGCTTTTTATGTATATTTTTATGTAAAAAATTTAGGTTAAAGTTTAAGCAAAATCTCCCCATTAAATTATTAATAAAAAAAAACACCAAATAAATTAATAATTAAAAGTTGCTTTTTAACATTATACATATGTTAAATATTTAAAATATAATATAAAAATTAAGTAGTAGTATTTATTTTAATGAAATTTTCATTAGTAAATCTCGAATGTTTCTAAAATTAAGTCAACCCTATTTCAGTCGGCAATGATTTATATGTACGTGTAAAGCGTATTTATGACTTTACGTTTACTGAAAAAAAAAGAAAAATAGAAAAATATGAGACTCCACCCAATCCTAAAATTTATCGTCATTAATATTTGGACTGTTTCCAACTCCGTTCAAGCGAAATAAAAGTAAAATTTTCAAATAATTAAACTGAAATAGTATCACTGATCACGTTACTAGACTCTCTCTAGAGGAATTTTTTCAATGTTCGTAATTTTATAATCGTTCTAATATTTATAAAGGATGTAGGAGAGGAACAACGGTGACTAAGTGCTTAATTTTATTAGTTTAGCCGAAACTTCTCATTTAATTATCTTTTATATTTGATTATCCGGGATGCTGCAAAAATCAGTAATAAATCTAACTCGCTCCGTTTGTTCCAGACCCATTAGGTAATGTCCCTGTAATAACATACGTTATCCTATCTACAATTTATAAACCGTAGTTGATCATCCTCGCCGTTATGGCTTATTTTTTTAAAGTATAGTATAAAGATAAAAAAGTAGATATAATCAAGAATTTAAATCGAAATTTATCATTGATAAATATCCGAAAGGTAATAAAAATTTGATGATGAAGAGCACCTTTCTTTCTGGATAAACAGATGAGGAAAAGTTATAAAATAAATTTTAAAAATAATAAAGAACATGTGTGGTTTATTGAATCAATTTAAGTATCGAAATTAATTTTAATAATATTTAAATAAGAAAATCAACATATTTTAACCCGTCTTAATGCTTGAATAAATTTTTTCAATGTCATTTTATTGCTTTAAAAAAAATGGAAAATCATCATTAACCTTTAACCATTTTCGCTTTCAAGTAATTTAATAAAACCGATTATTTTGTTAAAATATTTATTTTAATTCGAATAAATGATCCACTCAATAGACATAATTAAGATGGCAAACATTTGAATTACGCACAGTACCATTACGCAGAGTACCATTACCATGCTGCCTTTCCATGTGCTGTCAGGATGTTCATTTTTGAGTGTTGATGCTGATACAATGTAATTTTTACTTATCCGAAAAATCGAGATAGCAATTCCTTTTGTTTTTATCATTACTTTCTTTATGAAACTACGTTTATTAATGAATAAGCTGACGTAACATACTTCTTCACGTGTTCTGTTCTCAAATCTTAAAATCCTTTGCGATATTACGCTGGGGTAATGGGATTACCTCATGAGCATTCATTCGCTTACATGCTCGTGAGGTAATCCCATTACCCCAGCGTAATATCGTAAAGGATTTTAAGATTTGAGAACAGAACACTTAACTGTAGCTGACAATTTCCTTGCCAGTAGTTATTTCAAATAATGATAATCGCAGTTGACTATTTTGACTGGAACCTAATTAAACGTCGAAAAATTTGCATTACTTTTTTTAAAATTACATGCGACTGTTAGGTAACTCTATATTGTAGATTATGACGACATTACCAAAAATGTATGGCGGAATTAACCCGATTGGTATAGTAATACCGTCATCCTGCAATTTTTTTTTTCTTTTGGAAAAAGTGTTAGGACAATTCGTTATGCTTTTTGTGGGTCTTAAATGAAAAACCAGATCGTATAGATTACGTTTTTATAGATTTTTTGTGTGTGTGTGTGTGTCTGCACTACAATATTACTATTCAGTAAGGTCACTTCTTCCTTGGAGTGATGCTAATTTCTTATTTTCCCCTACGTGCATGCTCACCCACTCATATATGCATTACGTAATTTATAGATAGCTCTTATGATAAAAATAATATATCCATTTTATAAATTGTAAATATAATAAGTGATTTTGCTTTTATTCCAGAAAAGTTTTCATAATATATATATATATATATATTTCGAAGTTATGAAAATTTTATTCTAAAGATTCCAAATTTAAAATTTCAACTTTTTANTTAAAGAATAAAAAATTCGAAAAAGTTAAGTTAAAGAAAATCGTGAAAGAAGATTCGTGTTTAAAGACAACTGATAAGATTCACGTCAAAAGAAAATCGAAAGAATAGAATTTTTTGAGTTCCTCTCTAAAAAAATACTTTATTTTTTGAGGGCGAATAAAATACAGAATTTAATTCTTGCATTTTAAGAATGTAAAGAAGGTGTTGCAGAGAAAAGTGATAACTATTTTAGCCAGAGAAAATGATCATCTAGTGTTATCCAAAATCATTAAAGTTCATTATTTTAATTAGACTACTTAAAATTCGAATTTAGCTAGAGATTGGCATGTTGTTATTACAGGTAAATTTGGCTAATATCCAGATTAATTTATGAAGAAAAGAAGAAAAAACTTTTACGAAATGAAATTTCGGCATAAAATTATTCGTTTCACGTATTTTTCTTCCAACTATTCGTGCAAAAATCGTTTCCTCTAAAGTGCATGAATGTTAATTCTTGTTTCGCAATTTATTCAAATTAATATATTTATAATTTAATATGGCATACAAATATATAGATATTTTGTATTTATTTTTTAAATTCATATCGTGTGAATTACTACTTTTGAATTTTTCTATTGATTCGAAACTGAAACTGGTATCGATGAATAATAATTTAAGTGGATTTATCTTACATCTATTCAAATTTATTAGATGAAAGGATTTTAAAACATAAAAATATATTACTTTATATTGATTATTATCGTATCTTTATCCATTTTCTACCGAGATTTAACTGTCGTATATCATTAATTACCGTACAAGAACTTTAAAGATTATCGATATATTAATATATTCTTGTCGTTTCTCCGTTCAATTATATACCATTCAATATGCACATATTTTTTTAATTAATTAATTTAATCATTAGCTCTTTAAGTTCGTTTAATGAATTAAAATATGAAAAATGATCTCATCAACTCTACTTAGATAATGATTAATAGATAATTATAATTAATAGAAAATATTTTATTCTTTTAAACCTTTTATATGTTTCGCTTAAGCAAAAATATATAACATTTATTAATTATATTGTATATATTTAACATAATAAGAAGAAAACGAGATCATAAAAGACATTAATCGATTTTTTTTTTTATATCAAAATCCATATTACCAAATCTTAATGTTCTTTCTAGAACTATAAGCTACTTATAATGATTCTGATGATGATTTTATTGATAAAGTTCTTCTAGTTACATTCAGTTAAACTTTAACGTAATGTACATGTACCCAGTATATTTTAATTATTATTATTATTATTATTATTTTCTTTGTGTATAAACGTTAACGTTTTCTCAATTTGGAAATCAATTATCGAAATAATAATAATTGTTCCTGTAATGATAAATTTTAATTGAATTCTTTATCGATTGCTCGCATTCCTTTGGAGGACACTTCTGTCACGTGTTCTGTTTTATTCATTAATAATATAGATAGTGTATTACGTTAAGTATCAATAGGATTAAGTCAAAATTGCAGCTTAAAACGAAGCTGGTAAACATTGTTGACAGAATGATATCGATCGTTTTTCTGTTTATCCGGTCCAATTAAGAACAGACCGAGCAAACAATCCAGATCGGTAGTATTCTTAATGAGATCAATCGATCTTGTAAGGAGCAATGACAATACAGTAGAACCTACTCCAAACAATTTAAATAAGCGTGCATCTTTTAGAAGATCGTCCTCGAATCCATAAAAGTACGTTCGCCCGATATTGATAGTTATAAAAAAATTTTTTACTGTTATATACATAAATGCAGGAATTATTGATTTAATTTTTCATCATTATTTTATTACCTTTTCTAAAACAAAAAAAAAATATTCTATCTATTTCTTATTGTAACAATGCTGCAATGCAGTACGTCGACGCGTTGTATATAGTCGGTAAGTCAATATCTTAACTTTAAAACTATAAATTTATATTAGATAATAGTTAAATTATAATAATAAATCTATAGAATTCCAGAAATATTATAGAAACAGGACGAAAAAAATTATATCGATTTTTTTTATCGTCACGTGTAGTTAAAAATTAAACATAAAAAAAGGGCTAAAATAAATAAAACTTTTAAATAATAATTTTTAATTTTAGTTAATAAAAAATTTTAATAGATTTTGAAATGAATATAATGTATATTTTACTTAAAATATAGATAAAATGTATTTAAATAGCATTATTAAGGTATTTATGAACGTGTATATAAGGAAAGAAATCTTACCTCCACCTCCTTCCGAGGTAAGCTAACTTTCACACATGCACACACACAATCCTAACCTGATCAGGAGACGGAGCCGTTCAAAGAGAGGCGTTGTTGACGACGAAACGTTTCCATAGTTACGACATGTGAGCACTGGCTTCGAGTATACTTAACCACCAAAGGGTCGACTTGCCAAAATCTCGCACTATTGTCTAGCCAATAAAACAAAGAACGTGCAGTGTGCAGTCGTATATCCGATTATCTGCATATGATGCCTAGCATTATATCTGCAACGTTTGCTCTTCTAACATTTGTAATTTGTGAGGTTTCTAAAATTAAAGAAATGAAAGTCGTAAATTATTATATATTTTATTTTATAATTGTATTTTTATAGAAAATTTTTCAAAAATTAATTATTTAAAGGCATTAATATTTAATTTTCTGTGTATTTATTTTAAATGTTTGTGCATAGATTCATTGTATTTTTATATTTTATAAATTCTCGATATATTTTCAGTTATTATTATTTTTTACATAAATTATTATCATTATTTTAATCTTTTATTAACGTTTTCGTGTTCTTCTGTCTGAAGTCGAAACTATGAAATATTATTTTAATGGAAAATCGATCCATAACTAAATTAAACAGTATAATAAATTATATTCTAACAATCGTATAATTTAAAATAGGAAAAATTAAATTTTTTTTAATATTAAGATTGTTATAAAATGCAGTTTAAATACTTTAAATTGCATTTTATATTCTTTGGGTTGAGTTTTATAGTAATTTATTTTATAAAATCTTAACGATTTATTTTTAATTTATTATTTATTATATATTTGTATTAATTTCATAATAATAATTAATTTGTTTACACTTTAACGTGCATTATTTTTACTTTAGTATTTTTTACTTAGCAACAGTTGTTAATCATTTAATATTTAAATACATAAAATATTTAAAATATTTACGTGCAGACAAATTTTTATCTTTTTATTAAGGATAAAATATAATTTTCCAATAATTCTTGAGTTCAATTTTCCAATCTTATACACAGAAAATTATGTTCCAGACAATTTTTTTTTTTGTTAAATGGAATCTTTCGAACACATTTGGCTAAATAATTAATAAGGATCTTATATCACGTCATCATAAATGAAGCTAAAATTATAAAAAGTTAGTCACTTAATAATTTAAGAAATAAAATATGAGTAAAATAGAAAAGCTCGCATTTATCAGCCCATTATAGTAGAATAAATCTATTTTTTTAAATTAAATTACACAAATCATGGGCTAAATTTTAGTAGGAAAAAATTGTTTGCAAATGGTAATCCCCCTTTAAGTTCATAAAATGGAATTATTTTCATTGATTACACGAACTAAACACAATTTTTTTTCTTTACTTACTTTGCTTCATTAAATATTCATTGTTTATTTAGTAAAAACCAAGTGGATAATCTACTGTAAACTATTATAAAAGTTCTCCTTTTATATCAAAATTCAATAATTGAAGCCAAATTGTTCGTAGAACCATCATAAAACGGAACAAAGCTTGAATGTAGATCAATATTGAAGTTTCTACCTTTATATAATTTTATAGATTTAGTTTTTTTAGTTAATGTTGCTTAATTATGCTTAAAAATTGATAATTTACAGATTTTTTTAATGAATTGATTACAACGTATTTATTCTTTTTTATATGCTCTATTTTTCAGATTAATAAGCTTGCTCTAATTGTAAAAAATTGATGATTATGTATAAATTTTTATGTTAGTTAAATATTTTAATTCTTGTAAAGAATGATTTGTCAATTTTATTGGCATTAGAATGAAAATTTTATTGAAAATATACAAAATCCTTAAATTCAATTATATGTAAGACTTTTGAAATTTGTTAGTGGGAGATTCAAATTTTAATAATTTTTTAACAAAATTTAACTAAAATTGAAATTAGTTTTATTAAAAAGAAAAGCAAAAAATGTCAAATTTAAATTGTTAAAAAATAAGCTTTAAATTAGATTGATCTACAGATGTTTTTAAAGACATTTGGTTAGAAAAATTTGTCGACTATCTTATGACTTTAAAAATTTATAAAAGAATTCCACACTATAGTTAGTAAAAAAAAATTAAATTTATTTTCAGAATTTTTTAATATAATAAAAAATAAATATTAATTTTAATAATATATCAAATTTATTTTTATAAACTGTGCATATTCCTAATCTCATTGAACATTTTTTTCAATATTTTATGTATCAGACTGTATCATTTAGAATGGAAATAGCAGTATCTGATATTGTGTTTTGTTGTTAGCCTGTGTGTGCAATCGTACTCGTATTGTTATAGCAACAAATTTCTTATTTTATAATTTGATACACATCATTAAAAATTTATTAAATATCATTATCACTTGCAATGTAAAGATGTAATCTTGGGTTTTTTATATATGCAGAAATCAAATATTAGGTTTCTTTGTATAAAAATATAAGAATAATTTAAAATTGTAGAATATTTCTGAAATAAAGAGCCATGGAAATGAGCCAATTTTCAGTCAGTCTTTGAAGAGATGAAAATTTTTGTTAACAAATAAATAACATGTTAATGTATAAACCATGTATATGTCCAAAAAGTCGAGAGGAAAGAAAACCAAACGCTGTTTGGCCCCCCAGCGAGATCCATCCTAATTCTCATCCTTCACTAACATATAATTAAAGAGTCAAATTTCGATATCGAACACATTTTTTTGTCCCTATTTTGATTTTATTTCTAACAGACGTATGGTTTGCAATAGAATTTACAATTTAAATGTTATTACAGTTGTTATTATGATCAATTAGACTCGGATCAAAAGCTTATTTATTAGGATAAACAATTTTTTTTATATATATTTATGCTGTATATATTAATGGCAAATATGTATGACACGATGTTTGAGTTTTTCTAATTATTATTTTTCTGGATTTATTTCTAATAAGACATAACAGTTGAATAAGTAAAAACATCATAGATTTATAAATAATAAATAAATAAAAGAATTCTTAGAATTTTAAGTCTGAAATATTCAGAAACACTAAAAGATATCATGAGATAAATATGTAAACGTTTAAAAAATAATGATAAATTTAATATAATTATCATAATAATCTTTATTCATAATAAAATTTAATATAATTATTAAAATAATAAACACAATACCAAAACTTAACAATTATACAGTGTAATGCTAGCATGCAAATGAAAATCGTTTAGGATATATTTACGACAATTAAATGGTGATCACAGTAAATATAATTTGCATATGAATAAGAATAAATTTAATATAATTACATTAAATATGGAATCGTGAATATAATATACTAGAAAGACTATAAGGAGCGAAAAACAAAATCTTAAAAACTAAAATCGAGGAAAGATTTTTTCCTTTAGACAAACGGAGTAATAAAATTTTATTCTTAGAGTTTTTAATAAATTTGAATATATTTATGGGTTAATTTATCAAGTAGAAGATGTGAAAATGAAAAACCCGAATAAATCAGCTAAAATATTATAGATCTATACTTCTATAGTCATCTTTTAGCTGTATAAGCTGAAAATATAATGGATTCTTTTTAAAATATTTCTGAATAATTACTATTATATAGAAAAACTTTTTATCATTACAGTTTACAGTATATTTTTAAGATTTACATGTCAGAGTATGGGAGCGTCCTTAAATTGCGTAACGCTATTTTTATACTTTTCAACTGCCCTTTCATCTTTTGTAACACTTTTTAAGATTATCACACGTAATCACTCCTAAAATTACATAAAGCATATTCTCGATTAATCCCCATAATTGTACTAAGGAATGATAATATTGTAATAGGAACGTTCAGTACCCTATGCCGTAATGAACGCTACATTAGTTTATTAATTACATAACGTAATATTTTTGTAAACACTTGTAACCTCGTAACTATTAAAGGAGAGTAGGGTATTGGTGCCATTCTTGATAATACCATCACCCTCAGTAACTACTTTGCTGTGTGCATCAGAAATCTGGTAACACTCCAAATAGTTGGTTACAATTGCAAATATTTGAATTACGCACAGTACCATTACGTACACATTACGCACAGTACCATTACGCACAGTACCATTACGTACACATTACGCACAGTACCATTACGCAGAGTACCATTACCATGCTGCCTTTCCATGTGCTGTCAGGATGTTCATTTTTGAGTGTTGATGCTGATACAATGTAATTTTTACTTATCCGAAAAATCGAGATAGCAATTCCTTTTGTTTTTATCATTACTTTCTTTATGAAACTACGTTTATTAATGAATAAGCTGACGTAACATACTTCTTCACGTGTTCTGTTCTCAAATCTTAAAATCCTTTGCGATATTACGCTGGGGTAATGGGATTACCTCATGAGCATTCATTCGCTTACATGCTCGTGAGGTAATCCCATTACCCCAGCGTAATATCGTAAAGGATTTTAAGATTTGAGAACAGAACACTTAACTGTAGCTGACAATTTCCTTGCCAGTAGTTATTTCAAATAATGATAATCGCAGTTGACTATTTTGACTGGAACCTAATTAAACGTCGAAAAATTTGCATTACTTTTTTTAAAATTACATGCGACTGTTAGGTAACTCTATATTGTAGATTATGACGACATTACCAAAAATGTATGGCGGAATTAACCCGATTGGTATAGTAATACCGTCATCCTGCAATTTTTTTTTTCTTTTGGAAAAAGTGTTAGGACAATTCGTTATGCTTTTTGTGGGTCTTAAATGAAAAACCAGATCGTATAGATTACGTTTTTATAGATTTTTTGTGTGTGTGTGTGTGTCTGCACTACAATATTACTATTCAGTAAGGTCACTTCTTCCTTGGAGTGATGCTAATTTCTTATTTTCCCCTACGTGCATGCTCACCCACTCATATATGCATTACGTAATTTATAGATAGCTCTTATGATAAAAATAATATATCCATTTTATAAATTGTAAATATAATAAGTGATTTTGCTTTTATTCCAGAAAAGTTTTCATAATATATATATATATATATATTTCGAAGTTATGAAAATTTTATTCTAAAGATTCCAAATTTAAAATTTCAACTTTTTAAAAATAAATATAACCGAACTTAATTGTCCTTGCTCAACTATTTATAAAAAATACTGCAGAATTCAAATTATCTCGGTTTCAGAAACACATAGTAATAGTTAATAATGTAAAGTT